TGGCCACAAATGAATGTGTGACTAGGGATGCAGGAATGCTCTTGATCTCCATGTGCTCACGAGGGCTTTATTAGTGCCATATTACAAATGCACTGATAAATAAAAGCAGGAACGATTCTGTTGCTAAAGTTGAAGTAGTGATATCGAAATGGTGGTGAGACCTGTTGAGGATATTCCCACAGGAGAGTCTGAGTTGGGTTACAGTGGAGCAGACGTGGTCCACCAGAGTCTCCCTGGCAGCCCTAAGTCACTTACCATCTTTTCTCTGTTGAAAACCACATGGTGCACATTTCCCTTCTCCCTCCAGCTCTTTCCTGGAGGGTAACCTCAGTGTGGTCCCCAAGGTTTGCTGCTCGTCCTTGCCATCAAATATATAGTCCTTTCCCATTCTTACACAGTTGCTAATGGATAGGAGTGAGACAGCTTGTGTCTAAGAATTAGAGGCTTCCCGGAGTTCAGATTCCTCAGTCCTGTCCATCCATCAACCATTTACTCTACTGCCTCCTGAGCACCAAGGAACATAATCCTCCTCTCGTATTCCCAGGCAGAGTGGAGCTGATTAGAAAGCCCCGTTTGAGAGCCATCTGGTTGGCATATAAAATTACTGCCAATGAGCAAGATAGTCAGCTGGCCACATAACCAGGAGGCAGGAGACTTGGAGTCCAGCTCTTGGCCTAACCGACCTAAAAAGCAAGCTAGACTGGATTTTTTAGAATCACAAACTGTTCAGAGCTGGAAGGGATCTTAGGGGCAAAATGTAAGATGCTAACAGAGAGAGTTAATCACTAAAATGGTACATTTGAAACATTAACCACGGGTGAAGAAAAATCTCTTACTCAGAAGTTAGGCTTTTAAAAATCGGTTTTTAATATATGTTGGGGAAGGAACTCATAATACCAACTTAGTTTATCTGTTCAGGACAAAAATGTTATATGTGAATGGAGACCAGGTCAGTCTTGATTGTTACACTGATTTTTCTTTAACTGATCATTTAGATTAGAATAGTCTAACAACCTGATAAAATTTACTCACAAATTCTGAGTATGTTAGGTATAAAGGGAACAAGATATACATTTTAATACAGCAAATGGGCAAACTCACTTATTAAATGTGTGATCTTGGGCAAATGACCAGATCCCTCTCAGCCTCAGCTTCCTCACCTGTAACAGGAAAGACACCTGGTGGAATGTAAGCTTTTCCATTTTGCTCAGATGGAAATGTAAGCTTTTCCACTTCTTTTGCCTCATAAAACATTTCCAAATTACAACAAATCTCTGATCCAAGTTATTAATCTGCTTTCTACTCTTAACTTTTCAACGTGGGCTAATGGATTCCTCCTCTTTTATCTTTTCCACCTGCTGGTCCAGCCTATCTCCAGTTGGTGGCATCCTAGGTACCCACAATGCTCAGGGCCTGGGAGGTTAAGGCTGGTTCATGTGAACCGAGTTAGTCCTAGCTAACTCGGGGAGTGGGGATCCCCTCTACCAGGGCTTCTGCCCAAGAAGAAGATTCCTACATCAGGGCAGAATGTGGATGGAGGAGGTTTTATCCTCTGAGGATCGGTGGAAAGATCTAGACTTTGGCATTGGTCAGACTTAGGTTTGAATCCTAACTCTGCTGTATACTATGTGATGAGAAATACCAATTAGTTCCTCACTCAAAGTTGACGATAACTAATGCTCACCTTGAGAGATTATTGGGTTAGAATTAAATAATATAACATAGCCAAAATATTGAGTATGTAGTAGGGTCTCAATAAATGGTAGCTATTATAGCCTTAGCTCTGATCAAGGTAGAAAGCAGAAGTTCCTGCCTAGCTCTCTAGGCAAGATGTAGATGTTCAAAATAGCATTGGACTTTCCAAAAATTTAAGTTAAAATATCATCCAAAGGCATTTTTAGTCATTGATAAATTAAGTCACCACGTTGTTTCCAGGGCTAAATGCATTCATTATAGACAGATGTAATAACCGTGTAAAATTTTCCAAACATCTCAATTCTAAGAATTTAAACAATGTTATATTTGCCAAACATTTCATTTGTAAAAATTTAGATTAGAATGGCCTAACCTGATAGCAAATTTACCCACAACTGTTGAATGTCCATATTAGGTGTAAATGGAAACCAGCTGTAATTTTTAATGCAGTGAATGGAGTAAAGAAATGTGCAAACCAGTCCAAATGTTTATAAACCAAGGATTCCTCTGGGACTCAGTGCCCTGACTTTACTCTTTTTTTAAACATACAGAGTCAAGCTTTGTTCATACTTGAATTATGTACCTTGCATAAGCGTGCAATTTAACTTTAACCCACAGAACTGAAAATAAAATGAGCTCAGACTGCAGAGCAACAAGACTGTGAGCAAGGAAGAGTGTTATTCAAAGTGAAAGACACACCCCTCATTGCTGCCTCTGTCCTTCTCTAGCCTGCTCCTGTCAGATTATTTAGGGTTCCTTATACTTGACTCCTCAAAGTGGCAGAAACAGGTTACAATTTTTATCATGAAAAAGGGATTTGTCTTTTAAATTAATGTTTGTGTATCTGCCCTGAGGAGGTTGATGAGTAGCATGTAATTTTTTAAAAATTATAAGTGAATGCATACCCTTGCCACCTGTAATCATGACAAAGCCTAAGTAATTCAGGCATGAGCATGGTTTTTTGTTTTTGTTTTTGTTTTTTTAAGTGCAAAACAGGATTTACTAGTTGAGAATGTCTGCCTAAACAAGCTCATCTATCTGAATGCTTTCAACTGCCGTTCAAATTTAACACAAGCAGGTTTGGTAAACGGGCCAGATTTGCTCATTGAGCATTTTTAGAACATCACAAAATAAACCAATACATGGCTTTTAGGCTCATTTTTACAGAGGGTGGACAGAGAACCCACTGGGAGGTTTGGAAACCGCTTACCTTGGCATCAGGTTTAAGAATATCAATAGGAGACCTGACCACATTCACCACCCTGTCCCTGTGAGGACATAACACTATTCACTCATCTCATGAGTGTCTGATATGGATTACTGTCCTTGTCACTGTCATTTATTATCCCAGGCAGAGGAGGCAGCGACTTAGTTCTATGTGGTCAGTGTTGATTCCACATCATGTATATTTAGCCTACATGATAATAATTTGTGAGGATCTTCACATAATTGTCAGATGTTGTTAGTGGGGAATATCTGAACAGACACTAATAGCCTCAAATGCCCAGGTGTTCACTTCAACCTCCTCCGACCCCACCCTAAGGACCCTTCTCTATAGATGACCGTGTATTAAATTGGTACCTTGTAACTCAACCTGATAGTCTCTCTAATTTTTGACCCCCATGATAAAAAGGAGGAATTAGCCTAAGGACACTCCATTCTAATTTTCTGTCGCTGTGAGTGCTAACCAGAGCTCATAGAGCAATGTTGTGGGGGTGGGGAAGATGGTTCCACCATTGGTGTTAGACCAGGAGCTACTGTTTCCGTTAGAGCCACGTTTATTTCTGAAGTAGTTGTGGGGGAGAGATGTGCTCCAAAGAGAAGAGGATTTGGTGTGGTTCAGGTATGACTGACCATCTGGACAACCCAACCCAGAGACTAAGTATATGGGATAGAGGTGGGCTGGTGCTTTCCACACGTTGAGCTGAAAATCACTTGGGTTTTGGGGAAGGACAAAGAATGAAAGCTAGAAACAAAAGATCTGGTTATGAAACCTAGTACCTAAGTTAAGATGTTCGAATACATTTTCTCCTTTAAAAAAATTCTGGGGAAATTGAATATTTTTGCTAACCTGACTATTTTTAGCCAGTCCTTATAGAAGATGGAGGCGCTGGGAAATTAGCAACCCCAGAAAATATTAATTCATTTTTGCATGTGTTAAAATTAATTAACATTCGTATATTCAGGGATACAAGGCAATTAAAGACTTTGGAGAGATAAGAAAAATGTAAATATATATTCAAAATCAGGCTCATAGCATTTTATAAAAATGTTGGCTTACATCCAGGATCTAAGGGTGGGGGTGGGTATGGTTTTTTTGTAGCTGAAGAAAGTGGAAAAGAATCTGCTCTATTTCCTTAAAAATAAAAGACTTCTTGTTTTATACAGCATGGTAAATGAAATGCTTTTCTGTTTTTTACCTGCCGGCAGTTTCTGGAGGAAATTTTTCTAGCAAGCTATGCTGTTTTCCTCTCTTCGGGGACATGGTGACACTGGTTTTGTAGCAAAACAGTATTTGCTTATTAGGCATTTCTTCAAAATCCTGAATAAGCAGCTCTTTCCACATTTTTTGTTCCACATGTTAAACATTTCATTGCAATTTGAGCTTCAATTGTGTGTGTGTGTGTATGTGTGCGTGTGTGTGTGTATTGATAGGAAGGATTGAAAGGGGATGCATAAGAATTCTTGAAGGTTTTTTGTTTAAAAAAATTAATTCCTACAATTATGTATTGGACTCTCTACAGAAGGCAATTCCAATTTATTACACAGAGCCAAACTAGATCTCATCAATCTTAAGCAGCGGGGGTAGGGAGTGGTATTAAAGAAGACATGAAATTTGGTGTTTGAGTAGATGAGATTTAATTTTCGGAAAACATTTCACTCATAAAACGGATGGCACCCCAGTGTCAGCCCTGACCTCCATGATGTCAATGTCATCGTGCAAGCATAGCTGAGATAAGCCTCCAAGTACAACAAAGAAACATTGCATTTCAGCACAACACCATTTCTTCTCTTACAGTGTGTAATATGTATATACATACAGCCTTTTGATATTCCTGTTAATGCCTTGTTACTTTACAACATAGCTTTTGGAGAGGGAGGGAGGAGAAAAATCATTTTGCCTGTTCTATGTTCTGAGCAAGCGCGGTAAGTATGCTGCTGCAAGTCTTAACATTATTTAGGTCAGTATCCTAAGGATAGATAGCTTTTATCGTTCAAGATGGTCAGCTATACATCCAAAGGAATTCAGCATCAATTTATTTTTCTGTACTGATTTTATTTGCTTCTAAGTTTAAGCAAATTCATTCACATTTTAATACATTTGCAACTGAGAAGGCATCTGCCATTCTGTACCGCAGATACATTTAGCAGGATACATTTACACGGCTTGTGGTTAGAGGTGATAGCACAGGATACAGACAGCCCGATCATGCATTCTTCTACAAGCCTGCCGGCATCATTTAGGATCTGATGCTGAAAAATAATCTAGAAAAGCTATCCCCTATGTAATATTATTTTTTACTTTACAATAGCATAACAGTTCGTTTTTTGTTTTTTTGTTGTTGTTGTTAGCAATTCTATGAAATTAATAGTCTACAAAACGCATCCCAAACCAGATACATACTGTATTGAAAGCTTTCTTCAAGAAGATATGACAGTATTCATTCCAGCTTATTTTCTTCGTTAGCAAAAGGATTGTTTGATTCTCAGAAGCAAAAGGACACATTCATTGTGCAGCAGCTCTGCTTAAGTGTATGAAATGCCTTCTACTGTCTGGTTGCAGAATTTGGAGTTTGCTAAACAGTGTTTAGTGATTGGGCTCATCTTGCATCACCAGTTGATGACATTTTTCTTTGTTCCCTCCTACCCAGTTGAACCAAGACTCTGAGGCTGATATGCAATGTCACTTACAACATTAATCAGATACTGCATTTAAGGTGAGCTGTCCCTTGCCTCCTCCTTCCCCAGTGCTCGTGTGCTGCATGCAGTGCGTATCTTGCTTCTGCGAGCCTAAGATGGCAGGCAGGATTAGCCGTGCTTTTGCTGTGTGTGCATGCTGTGTATAGAATTCATTACACGTTGCCTAGTATTTCAGATGTGAGTATGTAAATGCTCGGTATGCCATATCATCTGGTAGCGAAGACTTGTTTTTGCCTCATTACAGCCTTAGATATTTCAACATCACCTTTCAGTTCCGATTCATTTGCCTCTGGATGTTTGCTTTTCATCACGTTCAAAATAGGATTTTACCTTTTTTTTTTTAACAAAGCCAAAAAAAAACCCTAAAAACAACAACAACAACAAAACTCTGCTACCAGATGGTGTCTCTCCTTTCTTCTTGCATTTGCTGTCTTTTAAATAATGTATGTTGTATTGTTAATTAATGTGAATATCAAATTAAACACTTGAAACTTACATATTTATTATGCAGGTAGGAGGCAAGGTGGAATCTATTTTTAACTCTTATGCACTCCATGCTGTGCAAACAACTTGGTTCTCAAATTTGTATTTTCAGTGCTGGTATCAGTGGTTTGATTTTCAGCAAATGTGACAGTGGCCTTTGCAGTGGTCAGCTCCGGGCTTTGAACTCTCAGAGGAGGAAGGGAAAAAAAATTCAACACACCACCTCCTTGGTTGCAGCTTCAGAGAAACCTTGGATGAGAAACTTCTTTTTTTCAATCCTGTTTTCCTGTTGATAAATTCAGTTCTCGTGATCACAGTACATTCAAGCTGTTCTGCGTATGATTTTGTGTGTGTGTGACAATTGCATCTAAAACTTGTGAGCAAGAAGACGGAGAAATCAGTTGGTCTCCATCGCTTTACATAAAAATGGCTGAGTGTCTTGTCATGCTAGCACTGCATTAAGTGATACATACAGGTAGGTCGAAATTTGCATGTTTTATAGATATTTTTGAGCCATGCAGCAAGAATTTTAGATGGATTAAAATATGACTTTTGGAACAAACATTAAATAAGACAGCTGTAATTTTTTGGAGGGAGGGCATTAAATTGGATAGGCTTTCCTATTCAGATACTATATAAATATATAGCTTATATAAACTCACAAAATGCTTCTGCTATAATAGTGAGATGATTCCTTTTTAAAAAGTCATATATATGATAGGTGTGGCGCCATTAGACAACAAAAGAATTTTTTGAAAAGTCTGTTGATTCAGCTCCATTTTAGCTTGAAACTAAAAATAAATGGGTTTCTTGAGATAATTTCAAAGAGCGCAAACAAGCTTAATAAGAAACATTTAAAATATTTAAATTTTAAGAAGCGGTCTTTAAACGTGTTCTATGAAAGATGGAAATAAAAACTTACATGCTTCCAAAATCAATTTTAGATAATATACAGGAATAAACATGCTATTTGTGTATCTATTATTTGGAGAGATGAGGAGTTACAATTTTTGAAGGGGGGAGTATTAAATGTAGATGGCCCTGTTAGAAGAAAAAGAGCTTCACTGAATGAAAAAGAGTCCCTAGAATGGTTCATTGCAGATCATACAGCTGTGGTTCTGTAAGTACCAAATTCTGGCACTTTTCAGAATAATTTCATGGGCTCTTTCTTTTGAGCTTAACTTCCGAAATATATTTTAGTTTCAAATTAACATTGGGCCAGAACCTGTTTCCTTGGTAACCAAATCTTGTTTAAAAATGCAATAACAGATATGCAAAAGATTGTCTTAAAAAAAGAAACAAATGGTTAATGAAAATTGTACAGTTCTTTTTCCTCTCATATAGAGTCTGGACTGGTTTTAGATGTTTTTAGATGCGGTCTTCAAACCTTAAAAATTAAGCCATATTTCTACACTTATAGAGAAAGCTTGCACAGGGAGAGCTTTTTTCTTCCTCCTTTGTGCTCAGTACTTTCAAAATTAAGGTTTTCTTTGTAACATGCCCCAGAATGCTGGTCAAGGTTTGTGTACAGAGGTGTAGTTTCATTATCACTGGTTCACCAGCGCCCCTGAAACAAAAGGCATCTCAGAAATTCTGAGAATCAGAAAACGCTTGTGCTCTTGTTTTCCCTGATCCCTCCATTGGTAACCTCAGAGCTCTCGGTAGAGAAGGACCCAAACCCAAGCCCACCCCCCCAATGAGAAGTGCACATGGAGCCTTTGTGGGAACGTCTTTGTAGATGTGTTCGGAGGAAGATACTGGCAAACCTGAAACCTCTATGAGGTTTGCTCCGATGTGAAGAACATCGAGACTCAGAACCATCTGTGTAAATAGCTGCTTTATTCTAGCAGTTGGTCTAATATTCCAAAGCACCGTGTGTAAAGTCAAACCTCTTCTGGGCTAAAGGTTTGTTGCTGCTGTTGTTGTTGTGTTGTTTTGAGGCCAACTTGAATATTTTGCTTGGAGTCTTTCTCTGGCTCAATGATATTAGAACATGATTCATTCCATAGTGATTTCGTTCTTTGGGCTTGCCATGAAATATCCCTCCTGCAATGCCTTTTCTTTTTTTGGGGGGGGGTGCTGTTCGGGGGGCCATTTTTCTTCTTGTTTGTTGCTAAAAATGACTAAGTACATTTTTAATGTAACATCAATCAGAAGATTGTAAACTGAAGGGGAATGTCGGAAACCTGATTCAGTCTTGCCTGTTTATTTCAGTACCAGTAGCATTAACAGTTGCAGGAGGATCAAGCTAATTGTCATTCACTCTTGAGCAAATAATGAGCCAGGCATTTGTGATTAAGACACTATTGCTATTCAGAAAGATTACAACTACAATGTCTTCTGTTTTGATAGGCCAGTACAAATCAATCATTTTGAACCCATTTGAATCTTAATCACAAGATTAGATGGATGCAATGCGATTGTTTTACCACAAAAATGAACGCCTGATAGATTCAACAGTGTATTTCTTCTTTATAAAATGTTGATCCTTTTATTGTTAACTCAAGCATGGTTGCGTCATCTCGTAGATTTTCATACCTAATGATTTTTCCTTTTTTTGTGGCATTATTCATTTATGGTGCTCTTGGTTTTGCCTAAAAGAATTTTAAACACAATTCAAGGAGGTTGAAAGCCAAATTAGACCGTTGGGAAGTATATTGTACCATTGTCATTCTAATAAATAGACCAGTGAATGGAAGAATAATTATTATTTATTACTTTGTTGTGTTTCGCCTTAATGCTTTGCCTTCATATTTCACAGAAATATTTACAAGGCACAAGGCTTTTCTAAACGTACCCATTTACAATTATTATTGGATTTCCTAGTCTAGCCAAAAACACTTCCTGATGATCGCAGAGATGGCACCTACCCCTTCTCATTGTTTAAAAGGCTGTGCTTAACCCATTTACACTTTTTGGCTAAGGTGCTTATACTGGGCAGGCCAGAGCAGGTGCGACAGAAAGAATGTGCAAACAACTGCTTTGTTCTCACCAAAACAAAATGAGCAAATCTGTGGTTTTCTACCTGAATGATTTATAGTCTACAGTTCTCAACTCTTTTTCTTTGGAGAATAGGAAATGTTTTTCTGAGCCTTAACTCAGTAAGAATACCAATATAGCATCTCTTGCCACTAGAGTTACATTGATCTACTTCATTCATTTCCGTGGATCCCCCATAGAGAGACTGGCAGCCAGACCCTGTTTTAGAGCTGGTTGGTAGGGGAAGAAGGATCAATAAAAAGATCTAGCTCCTCACTGGGTGTTATACGCAAACAATGAATCGTGGAACACTACATCAAAAACTAATGATGTAATGTATGGTAATTAACATAACATAATAAAATAAAATAAAAAAAAAAAAAGATCTAGCTCCTTTATCTTTAATACCAAACCCTGCTAAGCCTTTGAGTTCCTGGAACCATGTGGTTCATTCTAACAGCTCCCTTCCAGGGGAAATGCTGTTCTTAACAGCTTTGTTGGTAATTAAATATTTGACACATTTATTGAGCACCTACTATATGCCAGGCATATTCCAAAGGCTGGAAATAGAGTAATGAGCAAGAGAGATCAGGGCCTGCTTCTTAGAGACCTGCCGCTAGTGGAGTGGAGTGGCGGGGATGGGGGAACTCAAAAATAAATTAAGGGAGACAAGTGCAAAGAAGAAAATTAAAATAAAAATTTAAAAGGCAAGAACGATATGTTGGGAGGAGGAAAGCCACTGTAGAATGATTGGCCTTCCTGAGGAGGTGGCATTTAAAAGCGGAGACCTGCATGGTAAGATGGACCCAGCCAGGTGGAGGTCTGAGGGGATCATCACAAGGCAGAGGAGTGCGCGTGCTCAGACTGCAAACACCTCTCTTTGTGTAACTGCCACTATAACAGAGCCAGGTCTGATGACTTGGCAGGTTAAGCCTTTCCTAGGTCAGCTTCCCCTGCAGTGAGAAGGATGGGCCAGGCCCATGGCTGGTTTTGGTCAAATTCCCAGGACGCAGTGCCAATGATGTTACTGCCTTTGACCCAGTCCCACCCTGAAACCACCTAAGAAGGTGCAGTGGTGCTGATGAAATGCTGGCATAGATTTAGCGCTAACCCCAGAAATCCACAGGAGAAAGGATTCTCAGAGAGTTCTTTTTCGCAAGAACTCCATAAAGTAAATTCATGACAACACATGGAGATGACCATTTCCTTTATTTTTTTTCAAAAGCAAATGGCGGAAGGGTCTGTCCCATCTTGCCAATGAATTGTCTATGTCCTCTTAACACCTAAAACTCTTCAGTTTTACAGATCTCTTTGCCTGACAGCGGCTTTCTAAAGACCTTACTACTTGGAGTGTTATTTCTCTATTTGAGCAAATAATACCAAAGAAATTCTTTTTAAGAACCAGATCTCTTTTATGCCTTTTAGGTTAGTCTGCTGATAAAGCTCTGAGAACAAAGGGATAGGTTTGCTGTATAGGTTAGAGACTATAAAACCCTTGGGGCGCCTGGGTGGTGTAGTTGGTTAAGTGTCCAACTTAAGATTCCACTCAGGTCGT